TGAATCTTTAATCATTAAAACCAAACTCATAGTGACCTGGAAGGGTAGAACAGAACTGTTCCATGTGGTGTCCTAGGGTATATATCTTCATGGACGTAGGCTGCCACATCTTTTTCCCATAGAGCATCAAGTAAATTAGATCTACCATTAGCCTCGGAGTAGGTGTGTCAGAGACAGTGAGATTGGCACAGGATAAAGCATGGAGTCACAGGTGACTCAATGGCACATAACAATAACAACAGTCAATAAGTTAAATGTCTGTAAAATATTGTTTTATCAAAGAATTCATAATAAGCTGTGTGTTGTTTGTCTAACTTAATGTCCTTTTTCTCCATTGTAGGCGAGGATCTAATGTATCCCTTACTTTGGACATGAGTAGCCTGGGCAATGTTGAACCCTTTGTGGCTATACCAACCCCACGGGAGAAGGTAGCAATGGAGTATCTGCAATCAGCCAGCCGAATTCTCACAAGGTCACAGCTAAGAGATGTCGTGGCAAGTTCACATTTACTCCAAAGTGAATTCATGGTGAGATAGCTATTTCTCTTCCTCTTCAGTAGGGTTTTTTTGCTATAGTAGGCACTAGGGAAGGAGCGCTAAGGGGACAGTACTTTGACCCCACCAGCCACTCCATGAATGAACGATGCAGCCATCTGCTTCTGTAATGATTAAGTCTTAGAAACGCTGCCTGGCAGTATCTCGCTGCCCTATAGGGTCATGACAGTTGGAGTCAACTAGTTGGCAATGGATTTTGTTTAAAGAGATAATCTTGTAGAATTGTGATGTTGGTTCAAATAAAGAGAGTAATAATCAAAATGGAAAGAACCTATAGGAATCTTTAAGTAGTCCTTAATTATATGATCCAAATAAGGACAAGGAAAAAGTCAGAGATTAATATCCCTAATTTCTAGCTTAAGCAATGAAGTAGATATGGTAGCTTTAAATGAAATAAAGAACACAAGAGGAAGGCCCAATTGTAGGCTAAAAATGATGATGAATTCAGGCTAGGTCTGTCAGTGATGGTGGTAATAATAATTTAATTAAAACAAAATAAAACATATCTGTGTACCCAAAGAGCAAGGAATTAGATAAGGTCTTTGTCTTTCAAAGGGAACTTCCATTTTACAGGTCCTGTAAAGGTACTCAGGAGCAACAGTGTCTCTCTGGAGACTAAGGTGCGCCTGATACAGGCCATGGTATTTGCAATCGCTTGTTATGCATCAGAGA